ACCAAGAAAACTGCAAAGAGCTGCTGTTGGAGTTGAGGGAAGTTAGAGAATCCCAAGAGGACGAAGTCAATGACAGAGCTTTGATTTTGCCTTTTCATTTCCTCAGTGGAGCCCTGTCTTGTTTTTATGAACATAGTATGTAAAGTGTGATGTCACGGTCCAGCAGCTGAGAGTTCCAGTTTGCATTCACCCAGAAAAGCCTGGGAGAAGATGAGAAGAGGAGCCCATCCTGACAGAAACTTACTTCGGCAATTTTAGAGAATGGCCAAATTCTTACATTAGTGAATCTTTCAATTATAAATGAAGTGATGAAAAATTCTGGCTCAGAAATCTCATTGGTAAAGTACAAAATAACATCAAAGTTGTACAAAAACTTGTACACTGTGAAGTTTAAAAATTGAACATAGCCTTAAAGGAAATATAAATATTTTACAATTTAGGTCCCATTCCTTTAACATAGGTATTACTTGTTTTTCTCAAATTTAAGTAAATATGAAATTCAAGACCAAAAACAATAAAATGTTGAAAAGTAGATAGGTTGAAAAAAAACTCCTAAAATTTTGATAATAAATGAAAACTTCAAAGTTACAGAAAATTTGATAGAAATTTATTTTTAAAATTTATCAGACTTAACATGTCCATATGTGACTTACTCAAAGATGACAACGTTCTATAGAAACACACACAACGGATTGTGGTTTACATGCACCTATCTTAGGTGACCTATAGACAAAGTGATTAGAATTCAGGCTTAATGATTTCTGCCCAGACTGGACCTGGTGTTTGCTTGGATGTGAAATTTTAAGGGCCAGATATCCAAGGCCCATCCTTGTGACCATGATGACTTAAGAAAAGGCCCATTTGGGGGGTCAATATGAAACTGTACTTTAAAAGTTGCCGCTCTCTCTAACCCCTGTCTCTCTCTTCTCACTCCTAACTGTCCTCTTCATCAGGATATTTATTTAATCATTAATTATTCAACAAGCACTGACTGACCATCTAGCATCTTCTAGGCTCTGTATGCTTGGGAACACATCTGAGTCCAGAGCTCAACAGAGAGCTACACTAAATAAAATAGCTTCCAACACTTTAACCAGTATGGTACATAAAATATTACCCATACCTGATACCCCAGGACTCTCTAAAAACTGCCTTTTATACCTTGCTCTGTTTTGTTCCATTATCACCAATCGACATTACATATACATTGGTACAAACTGCCTTTTATACCTTGCTCTGTTTTGTTCCATTATCACCAATCGACATTACATATACACTGGTGCATATACATATATATATATATATATATTTAAAAAACCAAATATATATTGAACTCCCTCACTAGAGCATAACTCAAAAGGGAGAAGATTTTGTTGGCTTCTTTGCTATATACTACATAATGCCTACAACAGCCCCTGACTCATAATAGATGTTAAATCAATATTTCTAAAAAAAATTAGTTCTTTAAATTAGGAAAATCTAAACTATATCTTTAAGGAATAGAGTGTCTGAAAAAAGTAAAGCCAGTAGGCGACACAATTGGGAAGTAAGAGTAATAAAAAGTGCCTTAGCAATTTAAATGAGGGAAGGTTTACTTCTGAAAGGGGAGGGAGGGGAAACAACCTGAGTCACAGATGTCATGGGTGGAAGGGCTGTCAGGTGGAAGCAGAAGGCGTAAGGAGGAAGGCTGCCTTGCTCAGGGTTAAAGGTACTAGATGACACCATATTACTAGAATGGAGACCTGGTAGGCATATGTGATATTTTGAAAACCGGAGGAAATCCACTGTGGTAGATGAGGAAGCCAGGAGGACAGAAAGACAGAGCAAGCTGAAGACACGTAATGTTGTCTTGAGTGCAGATCTGTAGGACATTAGCAGACAGAAGAAGACAAGTTGATTTACTCCTGAGTTTGACCACAATCATGTATTAAAATCAAATGCCTGTATTAACCGTACTAATTATATTTTGGGCTTCAAAATATCTCCTAAGTTATTAAAACAAACTCTGTAGAACCAAATATTTAAAACCCTTTTCCAATGGCAAAAAAAGAGCAATGTGACTCAGTTCCAAATATATAAAATTGAATAGGTTTTGAATGTTAGCAAATGTATACTATCATATTAAAAAAATTGAAAACCTTTACAAGACTGGTGAACAACATGTAATAACACAAAACTGTCATGAGTGTAAAGAATAAGTGACAACGAATGCCCTATATTTTCTCTGTAACATAGGAGACACTAATGGTGTCTTGGATAAATCACTGACATATAATAAACACTTATGAAGATCACTCCCTTCCCTAGTTATATTTAAAAAACCAAATATATATTGAACTCCCTCACTAGAGCATAACTCAAAAGGGAGAAGATTTTGTTGGCTTCTTTGCTATATACTACATAATGCCTACAACAGCCCCTGACTCATAATAGATGTTAAATCAATATTTCTAAAAAAAATTAGTTCTTTAAATTAGGAAAATCTAAACTATATCTTTAAGGAATAGAGTGTCTGAAAAAAGTAAAGCCAGTAGGCGACACAATTGGGAAGTAAGAGTAATAAAAAGTGCCTTAGCAATTTAAATGAGGGAAGGTTTACTTCTGAAAGGGGAGGGAGGGGAAACAACCTGAGTCACAGATGTCATGGGTGGAAGGGCTGTCAGGTGGAAGCAGAAGGCGTAAGGAGGAAGGCTGCCTTGCTCAGGGTTAAAGGTACTAGATGACACCATATTACTAGAATGGAGACCTGGTAGGCATATGTGATATTTTGAAAACCGGAGGAAATCCACTGTGGTAGATGAGGAAGCCAGGAGGACAGAAAGACAGAGCAAGCTGAAGACACGTAATGTTGTCTTGAGTGCAGATCTGTAGGACATTAGCAGACAGAAGAAGACAAGTTGATTTACTCCTGAGTTTGACCACAATCATGTATTAAAATCAAATGCCTGTATTAACCGTACTAATTATATTTTGGGCTTCAAAATATCTCCTAAGTTATTAAAACAAACTCTGTAGAACCAAATATTTAAAACCCTTTTCCAATGGCAAAAAAAGAGCAATGTGACTCAGTTCCAAATATATAAAATTGAATAGGTTTTGAATGTTAGCAAATGTATACTATCATATTAAAAAAATTGAAAACCTTTACAAGACTGGTGAACAACATGTAATGACACAAAACTGTCATGAGTGTAAAGAATAAGTGACAACGAATGCCCTATATTTTCTCTGTAACATAGGAGACACTAATGGTGTCTTGGATAAATCACTGACATATAATAAACACTTATGAAGATCACTCCCTTCCCTAGTTTTCAGGCTGCCAATTGAAAAATTGACCAAGTTCCCTTCCAGTTACAAACTTCCAAGATTTGATGATTAGTGCAGGCAAAGTACTTATACCTCTGATTATTGCCTGAACTTTTCTCTGAAATGAAATTTTTAAAAAATGAAATTGACCAGCAGTAAACCAAAAAGTCCACTGATTCAAATGGTTCAGCTATGCCTGGTGACTTCTGAGCATTGAAACATCATATCAACAGCATCTCCAACTATCAGTAAAAATGTAAAATTCACCTACACACACATAAAAGCAGAATCTGCACTTTCTTACCTATTGACTCTGTCTCTTTAATTTTCATGCTACTTTATCAGAAGTTTCAGCTCTAGTCAAAAGCCACCTATTCATAAATACGACTTAGTGATCCAGTGCACTGATTCTATAAAATTATATGACATAGAATCATATGCCCCGGAGAACCCCTCCCTGGAGTACTTGGAACAACTTTGTACAGAATTTCCCATAATTTTGAATGATAACTAAAGAGGCTTGCCTTGGCCCCTCAGGTGAGAAAGCTCGAGAGCACAAACTTGGAGCACCATTCCTGCCGAGGTCTATGGGGAATAAATAGCATTCATATTAGAAAATCAATTTTACCATGACTTCTCCCAACAGAAGGTGAAAGGAGAGGCTGCCTGAATGCTATCCACAGGGAGGGAAGGGAGAGGCAGGGGAGGGTGGGAGCAAAGACAGGTGACCCAGAAGTAGAGGACTTGATTGGCCCGAATGTGCAATGTGTACAATGGTGCAAAACTAGTTAATGTTATTCGACTGAACCCTCTTTGTAGAGAGCCTGGATGTTCCCCCACCCCAGAATTTTTATCTTTGTGAGAAGAAATATAGAATCACTGAAAATCTTAAGAAAAATATGTCATTACAGTTGATTTCACATATTGAGCTTTTCTAACTTGGATTCAAAACATCTGGACTGGCTTGTATGAATCCAAGTCACCCTGAGTACATCACTGGACTTCTCTGGTTCTATTACTTTGTCTTTACAATGAAGATAATGTTATTAATCTCGTAGGGTATATATGAGAATCGGAGGACTTGGGTCTCGGCCTGAATTGGCTTGAATAATGAAGGAGACCATAGGCCCTGACCCAGCAGAGAGAGCAGAAGT